CAGCAGCATGCTAGGTGAAAATAATATGTTTGTGAAATGGTCTAAATACCTGAAAACAAATTAAATGGGAAACATCAAACAGATTATTATTATTATTGGTATTATTATTATTAATAATAACATTAATAATAATAATAATAATAATGGCTCTTTCCTGTGTTTTTGGAGGTTTCACGCTCCCCCTGTTTCCTCTGGATGCTCCGCTTTCCTCCCGCAATGCACAGACATGCAGGTAGGCTGATTGGCATCTCTAAATTGCCCGTAGTGTATGTGCCCTGCGATGGACGGGCATCCCGTCCAGGGTGTCCCCCTGCCTTGTGCCCTGTGCTGTCTGGGATAGGCTCCAGCCCTCCCCCCCACGACCTTGTCCAGGATAAGTGGTGGTAAGATGGATAGATAATTATAGTAACAACGTTAATAATATAATAGAAAGAAGAAAGATTTTAAAGCCTTGGTTTTTAATATATAAAAGGATAAATTAGAGCTGGTGAGTGATGGTGAGACGTGTCAGATGTGAAGAGTGGGGTGATCGTGTGTCATTTTGACGGTTATCTTTTCCAGAGCGGTAGGCTCCTTGTCCATCCATCCTCTGGACGTTGTTCCAGTTGGCGAGTTTCACCTTTTTTTTTGGACCGTGTAGAAGGTGGGGTGGGGGGTCAGGTCAGGGGGTGAGGTGAACAACGAGGGAGGCTGGGGGGGTTTTAGGTTGGGCTTTAGATCTGAATCCTGGAGCTTTACCCCCCAAATCCTTTTCCATTCTCCAATGCTCTGTTTTAATCAGCTGGCCGCGCCGCATGAGGCTTTTTGGGGGAGGGCCATGGGCGGCGACTGGCTCGACAACCGCAGCTCCCAGTGACAGGCTGCTCCATTCCTGACCGCCGAGAGGCCAGTGTCTACTGTGCGGTGGGGCTGCAGCGCATTGTAACAGAGGCACTTATCGGAACCTTCCAGTGGCACTGGCACGGGCTGAGCAGAGAGTGTCTGACTGGGGCTAGTGCGCTGGCTCTAAACACCAAATACTAATTTAGCCAGGCAAAAAAAAGACCCTTAAAGACATTCACACTATGCATACTAAACACACCGCAAGCAAAGTTCAGAAAGTCACTCACTTTAATTCGACTGTGGGATCGATGCTGGCTTTCTCTGGGTGTCCGAACCACAACTGTTCAAACTCCAAATTCTTTTACGGCTTCTCGAGGTAAAGGGGGCCTCTGACAGTCGGTGATCCAAACCTTTTGTGGGTGTGAAGTTTGCCTGGAGAAGGATCGGAGTCTCATGGCATCTCAGAGACTGTCTCACCTCTTAACAAAGAACTGAGAAGAAGTGAAGGAATGGATCATGGTACAAATATGTACATGCGTGTGCTTGAGAAATACCATTAGTGTACCAGTAGAGATAAGTGTTTAAGGCCGTTTTAATCTAAAAGGGTCTTCTTTTCATTCAATTATGTTGTTAATTTGATCTTTTTTAAATCCCAGTCTGTCCTACCCATGTATCCCTTACAATATCAATAATTTGGCCATTCCATTTCTGAAAAATATTTACATCTCCTTCTCTCTCATTCCTAACCAAATGACATTTTTACAGCTGTGTCAGATAATAATTTGCATTTTCATTTTGATATCATCCATGCAAAATATGCTAATCCAATTTCCAGCTTTGATGCAACTTCTAAACATTAGTGGAATATTTAAAATTCCGCAAAGAAAATTACACTAATGCCAAAACATAAAAATTAAGGGCTTTTGAGTATTTATATTGCATTTGAGTATATAAACCACCCATCCATCCATATTCTACTTGTCCTGTGTAGTGCCACAGTGGTCGGGAGCCTGTTCCAGAAGCTACTGGCTCAAGCCAGGCAATAATGAACATATAAACACCATATGTATATACATAAAGATTAGCTTCAACTATATATGTTTCACAATATAATTTGTAAGTTTTACTGATTGTTAGTAAAGAAATAGTTTATTCTTCTGGCAGTAGGAAGAAGCCTTTTTTTCCCTTGTAGTGCCCCAGTTTCAAATTAAGAGTAAATATGTCAGATTTACTCCAAGGTACGAGTTCAACAAGTTAGCCTCGCAGTAAAAGGTGATAAATAGCCGCGTGTTTCCACGCTAACCTTTGCTGGCTTGACTTCCACAAACCGTTGTTTTTAATGAGATCCTCTGCAGGCCTGTCGTATCCCTGGGGGCAATCTCACATCCTCTCTGCCGGCCTGAACCCCGTGAACAACAGCCCGGCACCCTAGGCAGGTCGGCGAAAGGTCAGGGCCCTCGGAGATGTTTGTGTCCGCCGAGGAGATGCCATCCACGCTGCCGTGCCACGAAAAACTGGATAATATACTCCGTAGTTGGATCGGCATTTCTGGAAGCGCAACAAGTCAGAATTGGTGTCAGGCGCCTGAATCTTTATAGCTATACATAGCCTGGCGAAACGCCGGCACCACGGTGAAATTAAGTGAGATTAACTCATCCCGGGCACGATTCCTTTTGTC